CCAGTGTTTTCTTGTGTATCTGTGAAAAGCCTGTGTAGGAATAACACTGTGGAGACACTGAGCTTCATCACTATGTTGAGAACACTGTGGAACAGAGACAAGAAAAGAGCCTACAGCAACATTAGAGAGGAATGATGGAGAGATATTGTGCTTATGGCTTCTTAATATTATGCTAAAACAGAAGGAATCTTTTTATTTGCATAGTGGGTGATATATCTGTTTATGTGTGCAACTAAGTAAACCAAATTGTAAGTCGTTTCCCTTGAAATAAACACTGTGGCTCAGCATCTCAACCAGTCCAACACAGAAACAGATCTTAAATTGCATTTGGGGGCGGGGTTATGTGTTTGCCCAACCAATGGATGAAAAGGGGCTTGTCTTCAATTCTGCAATTTCTGCAATTAATTTTGGTGAAGAAATTATACACTTGACATAAATTATCTAATTCCAGATAATTAACCAATGCTTAAAATTATAGATTAGAAATATCTTAATACATTATTGTAAAATATTTAATTCAGCATTAAGTTTTAGGAGGTGAGTTATATAGATATATGATGCTACAGTAACATCCATAAAAAATGTTAGCATATTCTTAGCAATTATTATCTAAATAGTAAAACAAATATCAAAATATAAATATGAATATATAAGTTCAAGTATAAACCATACCTGGGATAAAGAGAATTAATAATTGGATCAAATGGACTAATAATTCACTTTAGTTAAAAATCATTAAATTAGAGTAAAAAAAAAATTTTTTGAGGTCAATTAAATAAAACAAAACTAGTGGTTGTGACATTTTCATAACCTGGGATAAAGAGAATTAATAATTGGATCAAATGGACTAATAATTCACTTTAGTTAAAAATCATTAAATTAGAGTAAAAAAATAATTTTTTGAGGTAAATTAAATAAAAAAAACTAGTGGTTGTGACATTTTCATAATTTTATATTCACAGAGTAGCTCAAGTAATATCAGCTTGTGCAAGTACTGTATTTATAATAGCAAAATAAATATCCTTTAAAGTTAGCTCTGGCTGGCATATTAAACATATAGACATAGCATACATATTTTCCATGGATAAATACCATCACAGATGTGGAGTAACATGTCAAGGACATTAAGTAACAACAGTCACACATAAAAGAGAAGAGACACACAGAGAAAACTAAATATTCTATTACAAAAGTGAATTTAAAAGCAAAACCCAGTCATCTAGCGCTCCCCTCTACATTAGAATAACATCCCGTTAGGTCAAAGCATTAAACGTCTGGTGGTGGGGGTGTGTGGCACTAGTCAAGAGATGACAGATGATTGCATCATTTTAATGCTGCCAGGAGAGGCTGGGCTAATGTTGACACAAAACCTAATACTTCCTTGCAGAGGAACAGGATGGCTCAGGCTCGGCCTCATCCCAGAGCAGAGCGCTACGAGGGCCTTCATCACGGCAAGCAAAAACCCATGAACACTGCAGGATTAGTACCCGCCTCTCTTCTATAAACATGCGAGTACTTTTCTCACACGTTAATCGAAACACAGCTGTTTTCATTTATATATATATATATATACAGCTATAGCAAAACAAGTTTTCAAAAAAAATCACAAATCATTAATAAATCATCATGTTGATTTAAAGGTTATTTTAATTGAAACAATAACTGGACAGTAAGGCATGCTTGGTAAAAACACAATGGCAGGGTGTATTGGGAGGGTGTACGGCTCCAGTCATGTAGAAAACACACTGCCAGGCCCAAAATCCACTCATGTCAGCGGGAATGCGGCATCCCGCTCACAAAGCAGAGCTAATTAAAAAACAACGCATCGCAGGAGGATGCCCCCACGGTGCTAAAATAGAACTATCAGCACACCAGGGGATAATCCACAACTTCCTACTTCAAGCAAATTATCCCTGGACCAAGACTAACAGCAGACTTGAGCCAGGTTCCATTGACACTAAGGCCAGACAAGAACATTCGAACACTCAGCATTCGAATAATACAGAAATATATACACTTCTGTTAAACAACACTGTAAAATTGAACGGCAGAAGTTGAGGCATATCTATCTATCTATCTATCTATGCATACACAAACCCTGAGTGCACAGAATCCCTCATTACCTACTCCTCTCATGGTGCAGAAATCCTGTTGTCTATTTGAGAATAATTCAAATCACAACGAGTTAAATACAACAGTAAGAAACATCTCTCTCACACACATACAAAAAATCTTTGCCAAAAACAACTTCCAATCTAGAGGAAGTGCATTATTCTAATTTTCATAACGTTAGAAGCAACAATCATTCTTTTCTTTTGCAGTAAATCCATTTATTTTGATAATTTTTAGTAATTATTTAATAAAAACACAGAAAAATAATTATTAAAAAATAAATATATAAAATACATATACATGTAGGCTATGTTTAAAAATATGAATATAAAGCTATTATAATAACATTTACTGAAAAGAAAATAGTATTTCTAGCTTCCATGAATTTAAAATTTAATTTAAAGATCATAAAAGGTGTTTGTCCAAACTACTTTGTAAATGTTTGTAAATGACAGACAATTTACAATAGTCTTAAATAAATTTAGGTTATTTAATATTTTTTTCTGCCACCTTTATGAATGAAAAAAAGAACGAAAGAAAGAAAGAAAGAAAGAAAGAAAGTAAGAAAGAAAGTGTGGGCTCCATCTATGCTGGCGTTGCAATTCCAGTTAATTCCAATACAGTAAAGAGAATTCTCACTAATAGCTTGAAAACACAATTATATTTCCATAACCTGTGTCTTTAATTGGCGCTAACGCAAAGGTCTGCTGAGCCATTTAAAGAACATGATATGCAGATCGTAATTCCAAAGCTAATCCTCTAATAACGAAAGCCTGTTATTCCAAGTTACTCTTGAGCTACAGCGAGGTGAAATTTCCGCGCCAAAACAAGCTATAAATTCCCGCCGGTAAACTCGTGCTGTAAATAACAGACAGAGAGGTGTGAATATGAACGTTTGCCCAATGTCGTGATTTACGGTTCTAATGATTATAGGGCATGAATCAATTGATGCTAGTATGTCATTAGGAGGAGTTCCACCAGAAACAGCCAAAGGCTTCAACTTGGTGCCACGGGCGCTTTGCAGAGTTGACAAGTACAACCTAAATGAACGTCATAAAAGTCAAAAAGGTGCAAATTACATCTACTAAGTGGCCCGTCATTGCGAAATAAATAAATAAATATTACTGCTAGCTACGTGTGAGAGGAGCCCCATAGCAGAGGTGTGCATGCTGAAACGAAACGGCTGTTTATGAAATGGCAGGTTTTGTAATGCAAGCAAAAGGAGATCAGACCAGGGAAATAGGCTATGATTTACACGAACCTAACACCTGATTGACATTCACAAGGCCTTATAAAACACAACATAGCCTAGTTAAGATTGTAATTGGTGGATGCAAAGAAAAAAAAGTGAGAAATCTTCCCCAATAACAGGTAAACAAACAGTCATTTAAATAGGCTATGCAATCTAAACATAGCCTAATGCCATAAATAAAACGTTTTTTTTTTTTTTACATGTTTGGCCTGTCTCAGCGCTAGCTGCCGTCTCCAGGGTATGAAATATAAGACCAGAGCTATGAAATTAATTTTGTTAACACTAACTCTGAAGCTGAAAGAATTGGAGACTATTAAAGTCAGGCAGTAGATATGGCCCTTTAATTATTGCATGGTGTCGGATAGGGACCTCCCAGTTATCACCATGAGAGAGGGAGGGATATTTCAAAACCCCTGACACAAAAGCTTGCAAAAGTAGTGACACATGGGGAGAAGACATGCAACATAAGGCGCCCTGCGGTCCACTCACAGCTTCAGGACCGGGTGAATATCAACGCAGCACACACTGTGCACATTCAAACTATCCCATACCATGACTTCACACGATTTTATAACTGAGGAATAAGAAGTGCGATTTGAGAAGATTTGCTACGGTATTTTTATTTATTTTTTTGCTACCGTACGGGTTAAAAAATAGGCATTTTGTAGGCTATAGGCTATGCATCACTTTTAGCGTTTGTACGTTCATTATGGTATGGCTAAGTCTTGATTAAATCAAAAACATTCTACAATAGGCCTAGAACGATAGAACGATTGTAAAATTAAATAACAACAACAATAATTATTATTAGGTATAATAATAATAATAATAATAATAATAACAATAATAATAATAAATTAGCTAAATAACTAATGAAAGGAAACTTGAATTAATTAAATAAAAGTAAATTAAAAGAAATAAAATATAAAGAGAATACAATAGTGCGTTATTAAAAAGAAAAGAAAAACAGTTTTAAGTCAGTCAAGAAATTGTCTCACTTAAATAATTTCTGACCATTTATGATTGACATGTAGGCTAAACGTAAAAATAAGATGAACCAACCCGCATCCATATGCGTTAAATTGACATGGGCCTATACGACAGGTGATCAAATAATTATGTCGAATAATATGATCGAATGATCGAAGAAAATACTAAATTAAATGAAATCGCTTAATTTTGATTGTCATTGCGTTGCAAAATATCACAGCTCAAAAAACAAACAAAAAAAAATCCAGTGCAGCGTAAACTGAAATGAAAATTCAAGAAAAACGATCACTCACTAAATCCAGGACTGACGTCTCAGTTTATAAATAAGACAGTTTAGAACATGACAGCTGAGGAACTAAATTCATTATGGCTATAACACATAAAAGCCTAATAAATATAAAGACGATTCTTCGACAATACCACAGTGCACTTGGCGTCTCAATTGAAAAACAACAGAATTGTAAGATTGACAAGTTCAACAAAATCATACCACCAACGCCTCAAATAGCCTACTGTGAGTGTTATTGCGTAAAAACGAAAAATGTGCCCCTTTCTTTGCTTGATCACAGATGAATAAAAACAAGTCAAGCAAAACACTGCGTGCGTGTTACACCAATAATTTCTTTCAGATAATCCATGCCCTTACTGTTGGTAGTCGTGTTTGCAGTAAAGTTTCCTCTCCCGGAAGTAGCAGCTGGTGGTGAGCGGTTGTTGACACACGGCGCATTGCAAACACTCCTCATGCCATGAAGACTCGTTGACGCGCATCAGAAAGCGGTCGGATATCGGCCGCTGGCACCCCTCACACACCGCCTGATGATGGCACTCCGTCCCTGGAGAGCAAATGCATAATTTTAATAACATTCTAACTTCATCTAATTTTTTTGTTTTTTTTAAATAAGGATAAATGGGCTATTGAACAAGTGGTTATGATATCAAGTTGTAATATTAGGCTGTAGCCTACTAAATAAACCAATAGGCCTATGACACGGTGATAAAAAACAATAACAAATGGCGTGTGAATTATAACTGCCAGTTTACGAACATAAAGTAGCCTGTGTACGATAGGATTTTATATCATCATCATCATCATTATTATTATTATTTACGCTCAAATTTTAAACAACGCACAAACTATCAGCCAAAACTACATTAAAAAAAATACATAAATGTGATTCTTAAATAATATTGTACTTTTTGTTTATTTACTCTACAAAAAACAGGTGGAGTAAAAATTTCCAGCCATTATAAATAATAAAAATAGAATTGTGCAGGTGTTTTGTTGTTGCTTGTTTGCTTGTGTGTGTGTTTTTTTATTTTGTGTGTGTGTTTTTTGCGGTAGGCCTATTTTTTATTTGTTAGTATTTAAACGTTACAGTTATTAGTTAGAATGAAGCAGCCATAAGTGTGTGAATGAGAAATAAGTAGGCTATAACCGTTTGTGTCAAAAAAAAAAAGACAACGCTAGAATATAAAAATAAATGCATTACGTTGCGCATAAAATGTAAGAAAAAGTTTTATACGTCAGTTGTGTAATGGGGTTATTTTCTCTGAGAATTAGCCTTGATTATTCGACAGATTTGCGGCCGGCCGGTAAAATGCGTGACACAGGAGGATGCATCCCAGCCGCCTGCATAGTTTGACTTGCCACAGTTTCAGCTTTAATTATCGCGTACATCTTGATAAAAACAGCATCATAAAATTCTCTGAAATTATCTTTCACAGATAATTTAGGTGTTCACACTAGTAGGCTATAATACTGAAGACAATGAATAATTTACCCAGCATAACTCCAAGTGTAGCCTGTCCCGACCGCAGCGGATGGTCTTCGATTTTTATACCGTCCAACATCTTTAAATATTCCAACTGTTACCAGCAAGGAGGCGCCGTCCTAGTGACTCAGGACCTGTTGTAATATCCACAACAACACATTTGTCAGGGTTGTCCATGCTTCAAATCCCAAAACTATAGCACACAACATTACAGAAATCTCAACCTCACGGCTTTGCCGCTAAGATGGCCAGCTCAAGAAAACTTTTCATTGCAATTGGCACTTGCAAGATTAGTATTTGCTCTCGATCAAACCTTGGCACAGAAGCAGAACAAGACATAACTATAAAACTTAAAACACGCACTAAGTCACCTGTTAGTTAGTGGCCGAGTCAATCTAGACGTTTTCTTCACAAAGCGCAAAGTTTGTATCCCGGTGTTGTGCTGTCACGAGCTGCAAGGAAAGGTCCTCCCTTTCCTACACCGTGCACAAGTCGTCTCGTCCCGCAAAAAGTTTTCAGGAAATTAGTAAATTCCACGAAATCATAAAGGAGATCTCTAAACGTTACCTCTTAAATTAGTGCGCCATTCGGCTCCCTGCAGCTTGAGAAAGCTCAAAACTGAGATAGGCTTGAGAGAAAGCACCCTCCCCTTCTGGTCGCGTCACTTTGCAGACTATTGACTGACATAGGGATGCTATTGGTGCGCCAGTGTTCGTGCACTCTGCCGAGTGGAACTAAACGTGTTCCGCCTTCAAAATCGCATTGCCTCTCAAACTAGAGGCGCACAAGGATGGTAAACAACGTTACAAAAATTGTGGTGAAACAAATGAGTCTAAAAACACAGTCTAATTCAGACCAAAGCTTGGCCTACAGAAAGAAAGAAAGAAAGAAAGAAAGAAAGAAAGAAAGAAAGAAAGAAAGAAAGAGAAAGTAAGTCTATAGTCTACATATTCATACATTTAAATATATCCATGGTTTCGATCACTTCAAGTATGAATTTGATGCCTGACAGACTATGTAAAATGTTGCATTTTAAGCCCTAAACCATTTTTTCAAAACAAGTACAGTGGCACGCATTTGACCACATTTTGGGCAATACGTGATTTGCGTATTAATGAACAACTGCTTCCGTCAATTTAACGAAATTAGACGCACGACGCAAAAAAAAAAAGAAGTGGAAAAAAGGCAAATACGGCAAATTCGTTTAATCTGTCAACAAAACAACAACAACAATGTATTATTCATGTTCATTTTATTCTTTATTATTATTAGTAGTAGGCTAGTAGTAGCATTAGAAGTAGCCTACACTTTTGTTTTGTTTGTTACAGTGCGATTACGGTGAATACACGGGAAACATGTCGTTTGTAATTAATCTGTGGCAGTGCATGCAATTACGCGATGTTGTCTCTTTTGTAATTAATCACAATAACGTCCAATTTGTAACATGCCTATTGTAATGTAAAATGTTACTGTTATTGTTGTTGATGTAAATAGATGGTGTCACTTCAAACCTTGAAGCGCATGTTACTCTTTGGTTTTATTCCGGCTGCTCCGAGGGCCTCTCCTCTCATGCAGAGGCTGCTGGCTTTGATATCAGGTAACGGAGCATCACGCCTGGCCCGTCCGCATGCTTTGTGCTTTTGTGTCCATTATGAAGACTCGAACCTTCTGACCCTCGTCTACGATGCACCTGGAGATCAGGGTCGATAACCATCATCAGCGGCTGACAGAGACCAGTTAAATAAAAAGCAAACTCTTGTGCAGTCATAGGATGGCAGAGATAGAGTAATAATGCTACCGATTACACAGAAAAGATAAAAATCGAGCTAATGAGTTAAATGTCCCAGATTTTATTTAGTGAGCTTTGTGGTTTTGTTCCGGAGGGACCGCTTTGGTTAGATCTATTCTCATCAAAAAAAAACAATAAAGCAATAAAAAGAGGGCGCATCTGAACAAATGAAATGATGCAACAGATAAGTGACGAATCTTTTATACATTATTAAAATGTATAGCTTCTTTGTAATTTTATTATTGTGTTACCTTGCCAGTTTATTCAAGAGAGTAAAGTCCAGTAAATCCATCCATTAGACTTTTGTTAAAAACAACGCACAATCGCTTAACTGCTTAAATGACAAAAACATGTTGCACAACATAATCTATAGCAGTATTGTAAGGATATATATATATATATATATATATATGGTCTCAATTTTATATAAAGGCAGAGGAGTGATATCATGTCATAATCTTTGCTGTAAACAGAAGGTGTGTTTTTTTTTTTTTTTTTGCTCACCGTTTTGATCATGAAGGAAAACAATAAATCATCTGTATTTAATGGCAGCTCGCTGCTTCACAAATGTTTGAGACAGGCTAACGATAGCCATGACTACCAATGATATACATTGACTACCTATATTGAGAGCAATTGTTTGTATCCCAGTGCTGGATATTTGGGTTGAGAATCACAAATGGTTGCGCCTTTCATCTTCAGGTCTTTATTAATTGCATGTGTCCTCAGTTGTTACTAAGATTAACTACACTCATGTCAAGTTCTTGTTCTCTCTTTATATTTATTTGGAAAAGTCACTCTCAAAGTGTAAAAAGCCTCTTTGAAAATGTTTAAAATTCGTCAAAATAAGAACAGAAAATGATTGTGCGATATTGATTTAGCTCATTGCATATTTCATAATATATAATGGGATTTGGCCATTCACACGTCAAATTTTTAATATAACTAATACCAACGACTTGCCTTCGATGCCTCAAGCCATATACTCAAGCATGAGAGTTAACACGCTCTTTTCCAAACATCATATACCTACACTGAGAGGGAGGAATGCACGCGCTTAACTCCTCGCGTTATACAGAATTCGTCACGCTCCCCTGTTACCGCCTCATTCCCGGGATTCCGTACTACCTCCGAGCCATTTAGGAGACTTCAAGCAGTCGCCAAGTGAAATACCTATGACGACCCTTCATTATCAAGTAACCCCCACCAGCCCAACACCTTCAAAAATAAATGTCTTTAGCTGACACTAAGAAAACCGGCCACGGCGGTCAGTTCATTGCGGTCTCCTAAACGATTTATTCTCGGTCGAACTCAACTGAAGATGTATTTCTAGTAGGCTACTTTCTCCATTAGATTGCAGCAATGCCGCGTGATGATCAGAAAGGCTACTGATCAAATAATCAATCTAAAGACAGCAGGTGAGTCAAAGGACGAACTGTAAATTTAGATAAGAATAATAAATTGTGGGCATAGTTTAAAAATCGTAAAAATGTATTGTTATTAATATTATTATCAGCATTAGGCTATTTAGTGTAACAACAATATAGTTTCAGTCATTAGCAGGAATG